TGAAAAAAAAAATCAAAAAATTTTTCCCTATGCCTATTTCTCAAATATTCCTAAGAATTAAAATGTTAATTAAAATATTCCTTCTTTGTTTTCCCTTAGAATCTTCCACTTAGTACACTTGGTAATCTATGTTCTGCCATGGACTCATTTACAATCATTTTGATTTTCAATAATAAAAAGAAAGGCCTGTAAATGTTTTCCTTTTACCTATACTATCACAACTCATGCATGTACTTGCCATTGATTTTGAAAAGCAATCTGCCACTACTTTGAGCTCACTGCTTTTAAAGTGTGAATTTTAAAATAAAAAAACGGTGGAAGTTTTAAATCCAGAAGGCACATCTGAGGCTAATAAAGCCTTTCTTGGAACCCCAACTTAGTACTAACTTACTCATGGCCTAGTCGGTGTCCCTCCAAGTCAGCAAACTCCTCAAGTACAAGAACTAGGTGCTACTGTGTAGTTCCAAGGACCATAGTAGGGGCACATAGTAGGTGTTCATTATAAACTGAAAGCAAAAAACAATTTTTTTAAAGGAGACTGGGATTTAATAAAATTCTCTGGGGCTGCAGATGTCTGTTGCTTATTTTAGGCCCCAGGCTTATTTTCACTGCTTAGGTAAACAATACCTCACACAGGAAAAGTCTTCAAGAAGTTTGAAAGCCCTCCACGTTTTGTTTAATTTATCCGTGAAATGAGAATATGAGGTAATTGATTTTATCCAGATTTTAGAGATGAGGTGAGAGGGCTCCCTGGCAGACACGGAGCTGGAAACACTGGAAACTGCCCGCACAGGTCCCTGCACCCTGTCGGGCTCCGCCTGGCCGCCCTCCAGTGGGTCCCCAGGAGGAAGAGACGGCAAACTCCTGACACGTGGTGTTTGAAAACACCATGGAATGTTTCCACTTGTGGGCTTCACTGCGGAATCTCCAGTGACTCTTTCAGCAAGCTAGAAATGTAACTCTTTGGTTATGGGAACAGAATTTCCATACGATACGGCGGTGATCTTCAACTGGTGTGCTGCAAGAGTTTTTAAAACATGAAATGCCTTACTATTTAGCCAGGGGCACTGGTCTCTTTTCCTTTCAATTATCAAATAAAAAAAACACAGCAGCTAGCACAACAGTAGCCATCCAGTGTCAGCAAAAAAAATTACATATTCTTTGGTGTGCCACAGAACTTTAGTAATTAGTTTATGTGTCCTGTGAGATGAAAATCGCTGTGGTAAGGGGACAGCAATAATGCTGGCACTTTTATCTAATTAACAGCAAGTCTTCTCCCAGGACATTTAATGTCTTATAAAAATGTATGATTTGCTTGGCAAGTATTTTTGTCCTTTGGTGAAAACAAGGGGATTTAGCAGCCAAAGAGGCTGACAGTCACTTAGGATGGGCAAGTAGTGGCTCCCGCTGGGCTGATGGAGTCCAGTCCCAGGAAAATGGAACCGCAGCTCCTTACAAAACATCAGTCACGCCAGACAACGGTGACAATCCAGGCACAAGTGCCCGGAGTTGTCACTTCCATGGCCTGGTTTACACTTTATACCCAGCTCTTTTAAATGACTTCATTCGTCTCTAATGAACAAACCAAAGTACAGAGAATACTATTGTCTTAGATCACTCTGCAAATCAAAACACACACTTTTTAAAATCAAGTCTTCTTTCTTTCTGTGAAGAACAAACCCCCAGTGCCCGATCAGCCATCTTATTTCCTCGAGGCAGAGATACAGCGGCTGTGAGCAGGGACGGAGGGAATTTCCGCAGCCGCCCAGGAAGGATGATGAGGGGCCTTGCCCACTGGCTGGCTGGTCCTATAAAGGTCTAATGGAATTTGGTGGATAGAGAGCACAGCTCTCTGTACTTGAAGAACATTCGCCAAAGCACAGATGTTTTTCTTCTAACTGTAGACGCTGGCTGACGCGTACATATCCTTTTTTCAGGGCTCGGCAGACAGGTTGTTTCTGGAGTGACTTGTCCCCTCTAGCTTGGGACCGATGCTCATTGCTAGATGGAAAACACATCTTTGGCTAGACAGACAGAAGTCTACATCACTGAAAAATGTTTCCATTTTGGGAAATTCCCCAAAATAAAAGTGTCTTTCTGGCTCCTGGCCTACATAACTAACCACAAGGACATCTCAATAAATGAGAAAATGGATTTTCAATAGTTTGCCACAAGGGCGATATGTGATTATAAGCTCCTAAAGATTTTTCTGTCCCATTTTAGGAATAAAAAGTTGATTCATTTTTTCTGGTTAGTGCCTCAGTGTTTTCATTAGGGGTTTTCTATAAAGATTTTATCTGAATCAGAGTAAGAAAATTATTTCAGAGCTAGGATAAAACTTTACCTGTTATATACAGCGCTGGGTGTTACAACCTGTTTTGAGCTTAACAAATTACACAGAAACTTTATGCTCAGGAATACAATATATCAAGCAAAGCAGTAATTTTTCAAACACTGCAAAGTTCAACTAATTCAGATAATGCGAGTTTAGAAATGCAAAATTGGCTAAAAATGTAAAAATATTATAAATCCTATTAACATGCCAATTAAGTTTGTTTTATTGGAATATTTTAATTTCCTAGCAATTAAATAGCATTTAACTTTTTCACCACAAGTATTTTATAATATGGAAAGACACATTCATCTTGTATTTGTTATCTGTCAAGGTTGGTATGCTAAATAACAACTTAGCTTACATGCCCTCATCAAGTGTCTCAAGGGTAAATTTAAATTTTCAGTAAAAATCCAATTGACTTGAAAGGTAGACTACAAAATTGTATTAATTCTTTGCAGGGGAAAAACCATGACAAAGTTTAAGCTTTGTGATTTTTTTAAGTAATTACATGGTGGGAAAAAAAAGTACTTTCCAGAGAATTGTGAATGAGATACTGCTATATAAAACCAAAACAAGAGCACCATTTCTGTACTATTAAAGTTCCTAACATTTGCATTTTTTAAAACTACATTTCAGTTGTATAGGAAAGTTCTAATAATCAGAAAAACACAAGGCTACGGTTAAGCTTACTTGTTCACATATTTCCAACCTCTAAATCTGCAAAATAATGTTGAAGTTGCAAGTCGGCACCATCCGCTTCCCTGAGGACATGACGGTGCGCTGCTGCTTCTGCCTGGTCGTGTGCACAAGAGCACCCGGGTGTCCACCGGCAGGCCACCTGGGCGTTGGGGTGCACTGTATCTCATGGGTCAATGTCCAAAGTCATTGTTAACTGTGAGCACCTTGAATTTAAGTTCCAGAGGGGACACAAATTGGAGCCATGAGATGCCCCCAAATGAGGAGCCACATCAAAAACTTCACAAAATATCTTTGAATAAATTATACCCAGATCTCAGAGAATAGGTCACACCTGTAGGATTTAAATATCATCTAAAATGTCACTATGTGAAACCACTTCAGAAGCACACTGCCCACTCTTGTCTGAACCAATAATGTTTCTAAAATTGCCTTTATCCATATTATCTTTAAACAAAAGTATAGTTTTATTGGTATTGTCATTTTGACACTTGATAGCTATGTGACCTCAGGCAAATTCCTTAACTTCTCTTGCCATAGTGTCCTCATCTGTAAAATGGCGAAGGCCGTGGCAGGGACTAAGTGGGTTATGTGCCTGGCAGGTGATAATCACTGGGTCAGTTGTTAATACTGGTGTTATCACTCATCTATTAGATTAGCTCATAATCTTTGCAGAGAAGCCATTGGCACAAAATTTAAAAAATCAATTTTTAACAAAATTCTTGTTTTTTTTCCAAAATGAAAAAGACTTTTAAACAAATGCTCATCAGATCCCAAAATGACTATCACTTGGCTCAGAATGGTCTATCCTAAGCACATTTGGATTCTTTCCAGTTTAACTAGCCCCCACCTCTCCCATCTCCCCACCTCCTTACCCCTGCAACTAAACCCTTATACAAAGATGAACTGAATGTGCTGATCAAGACTCTGTAACAGATCCTCCTGAGGCATGCCTCCTGCGCACAAGATTGGTAAGGAGATGAGTTCCTTCCAGAAGATGATGTTGAGAGATAACAGCAAACAGGTTTCATTCTTCTGGATACTCCTTACTACCTGCATTCCTTCACCATGAGGATGAGGAGAGCTCTTCACCTCCCCCATGTATATTTGAGTGGTAGCTTGCAAGCACACCTCTATGTTCCAATGTGCCCAGACTGATCTAAATTTATCCCTAGGTCCTCTGTCTAGTGGCCCTGTTCGTAGCTAGATTTGAGCAAGAAGCCCCCATCCACTGCCAGGGCACTCCATTTTCCACATCTGTGCTGAGGGAGAGACCAGAATGCACCAAATCAGCAGCCTCCACAGATGACACTCAGCATTCTCATGTGAGGAAAGCAGAGCTGGACGAGTAAGCCTGCTGAATTAAATTTGTAAGCTACTCTGCAGGATATAAAGCTAGAGGGGTCATTTCTGCAGTCACTATGCTATTTATATAGCATAGAGTGGTCACCTACCAGCTCTGGGTAGTAAGAATAGTAATTTAAGTTCAAATTTTTATGTCAGGATTTAGTGTCAAACAGGGAGACACTCTTTGCCCCTGCTGCCTATCTTAGATGCGTGCATGAGGATCCCAGAGAAACTGACCACCTCCTCTAGGCTGCAGTGGGTACAGTGGACCACAGCTTCTGGAATCTGGTTGTGGAACCCCTTCCTGGAGAACTATTATTTGAATGTCAACATTCTGGGAGGCAGACAAATTTAGCAAGAGGACACTAAGTCACAAGCATGGTGACAATACAAATATTCAGTGCTGGTGGTTGAATCTGTCATTTCCTAAGTGCTATTGGCCAGCAGGTTTCTTTCCTTTTCTTTTTCTTTCTTTTTTATTTTATTTTTTACAAAATAAGCAAATGTTAATTATACACACACATAAAATTACATAAAAACAACACACAAACTGCTTGGAATGCAAATACTCTTTGGTTTACTCATCAAAATAGCAAATAAAAAATAACAAAAACCTTATCAGTTAAATAAAAAAGTGACATTCTTTATTTACTTATCAAAACTTATTAAACATTGAAATGCAATAATTTTCATTCTTGTGTTCTGCAACAAAATGCTCTTTTCCCTTTTGCCCCTGATCCCCCTTTTTTCCCTTTTGCCCCTGATAGGAGATGGGCTCATATCTAAAATAAAGGTGGTTTTATTTTTCTTAATACCACTTACTTTTTATTATCTTAATATCAAGAACTATCTAGATTTTCACTTTGTCTCTTACATTTGAATTGAGTACTAAAAATGGAGATTCCATCAGAACATTTTGAGGATAACATGAAAGTGAAGCCCTCAACAAGCATTTCAAAGCAATGGTATGGGAAAATTACATTTTGGGGAATTATCATGTTTTAAGAAGTATCGCTGCTGGTAGTAAAAAACAGAACTCGACTCCAGAGACATTATTCACAACATCAGATACAGTTGGATTCTACAATACTGATTTCAGAGAAGCAGTTTTCTATTTCTTTGAGGGTTCAAATTGGACTGCCTTAATTCTTGAATGTCAATGACAAAAATCTTTAAGAAAAGAATCTTTAACAAAAGGTAGACTTGAAAATGGAATTGTTTCAGAAGGAGAAATGACAGCAAGAGAAAGTTCTTGGCTTTTTAAAAGAGGTACATATACATGGTAAGGGATAAAAGTGATCCAAAATGCGTAACTTTGTATATGTTAGAAATATCCAATGTGTCACTAACACTACGACAACTGCCCTGAAAAGGATGTCCCAAGGTTTGGAGCCATACATGCTTGTCTTTGTATAACTCTATCTTGGCATTATGTAGTCACACATCTTTCCCATGATCTCTTAACCCTTAGGAAGCTTTTAACCACAGTTTCTGGCAATATGCATTTCTCCAAATAAAATGAGCCTCATAAAACATCATTAATGTTTGACAATTGAATTGGTCAAAGTCTTTCTGAAATATGTGTTTTCTTCAAAAAATGCTTCTTTTCCTTCATAAATCAACAGTGCTCCGCCTTCAAATATATCACGAGCAGTTACAATCTTAATTCACATGCTCATATGTTCTCTTCATCCAACATTTTGTTGACACCATCACAAAGTTTTTGTAAATGGGGTTTAAAATTCCCAAAGGGATTATATAAGGCAGCCAAGAAATCACAATCTGAAAAATGATCAAAGACATTATTAATCCGTCCGTGTGACTTGGCGGTGAGGTGGCGCTGGATGATCTGGTGGAGCATCTCTCTGCACTCGTTCAGCAGCCTGGACAACACATTCCGGTCAAAGGTGTAATCCACCTGGTGGAAACTGACCACGGTCATGGCAAGCTGATGCACTTTCTTCTTAAACTTCTCCATCAGCGCTAGCTCGTCTTGATTAAACTGATTATTCCTGTAAAGAATAGCCAGCTTGATGACTGTTTTGATGAGGTTTTTGATGATTTTCTCCGCCTCCTTCTTGTTCTGGGTGTACTCCCTGGTCACCCGGTAGAGCTCATCCAGCACTTCGCTGCTTGTGTCATCGATTAAGGTGGTGGCAATGGATTTGGACACCATTTTACCCAAGATCTTCTTTTGTGCCTGAACGGCCAGGTTTTTGGAATTAAAGACATCTGTGGCCACTAAAAACAAAAGGTGGGAGAATAAAAGGTCAGTATCAGTGACAGAGCAAAGGAAAAAAACAGGTATAAAGGTTTATTTTCCTTCTAATTTTCCCACTGTGCTTTGCTTCCCAACTACTGTCAATAGTTTCTGTTCGGAAAAGAACTAAAAAAAAGTTTCCTACATCTCTTTCTGGGCATTAGGTTCTCATTTGTGAATGTCACAGGTTGTTATGCATCATCTTTAAGGTCTTTGGCAATTCAAGTATTTTATACCTTCTGCTACGTGGTCAATATTTTGTTTAGAAGTTAAAGGGTTCAATTTTCTTAAGAATAACACTTTCTGACTATAAAAATACTATATCTCATGAAGCAGTAAGTTTTTAGTTAAATTTTATAGGAAATATATCAAAAATATAAAACAACCCCCAAAGTGTCCTCTGAGAAACAGTTACCAAGAACTTAAAGAAACTCATTTAAATGTAAAAGGGAAAGATGAAAAAGCTATGATATTGAGTAAAATGACAAATTCATGGGAGCAAATCAAAAGGAGAGTCCTGCTTTATAATCTACTTGCAAAAAGTCAAATTTCCCAAGACACAGGCCGAGCCAGTACTTACCAGTTTGGCCATCCTAACCACCCCGAACTTCAACTCCCAGAAAGAGAATATTGGAACAAATGTTCTTTGGAAAACTTACTGTCAACTGCTATTTCTGATGAATGGCCACTGTTCCCTTTACATTTTTATACGGTTCGAGGAAATAACCATAGTGTATGACCTAATAAAATTTACTACATGAACAGTTGGAAAAAGCTGATGATGCTTAGAATTGCTTTTGAAATCACTATAACTGAATTTGACCAAGGTTTAAGGCACTATTCTTATAGTTGTATGTGTTAAATATTAATGAGACACTATGTGATGCTCCTAGCTTACAGCCAGTCAGTGCAAATAATCAATGTTTATTCCCCAAACCAAGTTTATTTTTCCTCCAATTCCCCCCACCCCAACATGCTGTGCATGTTGCTCCACCATGCTGTACTTTCTCCCTCTTCTCCTAGGTCCTCAGAGATGGAGATCTCAGGGTCTGTCTTCACCTTTGGGTCCAGGAGCAGCTGTTCCTGGACCCAAACTGGGTCTCTGAATGTGCATTCATTCAATAATGAAAGGTAAAAGACTTAACAACACAGATTATGTAGAAATGAGTCAGTGCATCACTGATATAAAGTTATTTCTCGTTTGGACAGGCTAGCAACATTCTAGAAAACTGCTGCTCCCAAATCCAGGCTGGAGTACACATCAGAAGATTCACCCCCTCAGTGTGGAAATGCTATGTTGGATTTGAAATTTGGGTCAAAGTAGCTCATGGTACATAGCACAGGTACCTGCAAAGTGGTTCCTAGTGACCATGACATCATTCTTAAATATATGGGGCCATGCACAGTGAAAGAACATCTTGGTTAAACTAGAAATGGTACCCTCAGTCAAATGTCGATATTTAAACTTCTGAAACATGAACTGAAACTGCAGAAGAAGAAATGAAATCTACTTAGAAAAAGAAAAGGAAAGTAAAAATGCATGAGAAATAGGTAACTTTATGAAGGTTTTCAAGCTTTTTTAATGCTTTCATCATTTAACCAGCAGTCCATTTTTATTCCTACTCTGCAATGGTTTGCAAAAGAGCGTGTAGGTCGATTCACACTAAAGAACTGGTATCCAAAGAAATGGCACACATGTAGTTAATATTACCATATTAAGACCAGGGACTATGTCCATTACTGATTTCATGATACAGACCTCAACAAATAAGTAAAACTGATTTATACAGAAAGGGATACCCCCAAATTTTCAGATATACAGCAAATAAATTAGATTCAGGAATTCAAGGTTATTCTGCTTTTAATCTATTAGAACATGGCACAGTCTGCAAACATGCCATCTGGGATTTACTGCAATATGTATGAGACAGAGACAGTGTTGTACCCTGTGAAATAATTGAAGCCAGAAGGGGAGCTGTTCAAAAGATCCCTCTGTGCTCCTTTTACCAAGGCTGGGCTTGCAAGTTTGCACCTCTCCTCAGCCACTCTTCTCATTAAATCTAAATGTCCCATTTCATGTCAAACATACAGACCAAACAAAAACTCTATGGTGCAGCACTTGTACTTCCCACAAGAGAAAGCAGAAAAGGCAAGACTGCTGCCAACGAAGCAAAGTCGTTCCCCATTTACTGGTAACCACATCTGAACCAGGACAGAGAAGTTGATCTGTGAGGCTTTCACATTTGTTTCAGAGGAACTTCAAACCCTGCTCTGGACACACAGCAGCAGCTTCATACTCTCATTTTATTATTTGCATTTTATCTGGTGCAGTCATCTTTTAAAATGAGAAGGAAGCCACTCCCCACCCCCAACCCCCAACGAAGGGAAGATATGCATACAGCAGATTTCTTTTCTAGTGTTAGTGAAGGTTTTTTCAGAGCTAACTGGGGTTTGTGGCTGAGAGTGGGCCAGGACTGTGTGGTCTGTGATCATGAAATATGATTTTTTTCTAGCAAATTAACTGCCTTTAGCCATTCCTGCTCAGCCTCATTTGTCAGTTCCACATCCTCTACCAAATCCCTTAAAGGCCTGGTATATCTCAGAGCTAGGTCTGGACCAAGTTTTTCTGCTTCACTCTACCCTCACTCCTGTGTGATCTCATCCACTTCCATGGCTTCAGATACATCCATGCGCCAATGACACCCACAGTTACAACTCAGCTCTGACCTCTTTTCTGGACTCATTTTGCAAACACATTCAAGGTTTTTCTTTTCCTTGGCTATTCTGCAGGCATCTCAAATGTACCATGTCCAAAACTGAATTCTTGATTCCCTCCTGCCCCCCTTAGTACTACCCTTCCATTCTTTACTATATTAATTAATAGCATCCCTTCCATCCATTCGCTCAAGTCAGAGACCTGGAGTCACCCACCATACCATCCTCTCCCTTACACATCCCATTACCAAGTTCTTTTTATTCTACTTCCCTCAGTTCTCTCAGTTCTATTCACTTCCCTCCATCTCCACACACATCAGTCTAGTTTATGCCCCTTTCCAATCTCTTCCCACATAATAGCCAGGGTTTTTTTAAAGTGTAAATTTAAAAACAATACTCCTCTTGCATTCTTTGCTAACCATCACATTTCCTTGTTCCTGAAACTCCCATCATTTGCCTAAATTTTTAATGTCTGCTTCTCCTTACTAGAATTTAAGCTTTTTGAGAGCAGAGACTGCTCTACGCCTTGTTTACCATGTGCTCCCTGGATCTGCAAGGGCGCCTGGTACATGGTGCTTCTGACTGAAGCAGAATCAATTCCCCCCCTCTCTTCACTGTACTTAAAAACTTCTTCATGAAAACATGCTGACCTGCAAAATGAGAGCTTTAAATACGTACGTGGGTGTTTTGGAGGGGGAGTTACTTTAAGAGCTAGAAAAACAGATATTTGTTTTATCTAGCTAAATATGTGGTTTTCTTCTCCTTAAGTGCACTCCAGAGTGTGGTTTCTCTTACAGCCATCAATCAGCTCTTTTAAAGAGGGCAGATTTGTTATACAACGAGAAAACACCAGAGGACAATAACACAAATATTTAGTGTAAAAGCTGGGTGCAATGGTCCTGATTGAGATACAGCAGAATAAACAACACAAGCCCGCCTCCACTTCTGATGGGATTTATGATTAAACATGTGACAGAGGGACAGACCAAAAGTATCACATGTCCTGGGAAGCAACCAAGATGTGACTAGAAGATGTTCTCAGGACAAAGTGCCAAGTATTGACTCAACGTTTTGCCTACTAGGATGAATTCACTTGTGTTTAAAAATGCACATGTACGCTGTTGACTAATGAAACATGATGCTATATGTTAAAAATAAACAAAGGATTATTACTATATTAAAACTATTTCAGTGCTTTATAGAAATATTTGTAAATGTTATTTTCCACGTACTTATCTTACTGCTCCTCCCCTCAGTCTCTGTATCTCCTTTATTATATATTTTTTTGCTTAATCATATGGTCCATTCAGCAATGCTTACTGAAAAGCAAACAGATATCCAGGGATTCCTGGCTTTAGCATCGACAATTATAAATCTGGAGGTAAACATTAATGATAAAACTATACTGAGCCCTGTGTACATTTTTTAAAAAGTGCTCAGAAGGTAAAAACTAAACACTTGTATAGTTTTAAGCAGTGAAAAACTATAGTTTATGAAATTAACTGAAATTCCATATAACATTACTCAAGTCACTTCTTTACAACCTCACCAACAGATACATAATTTCTTCACCCAATTTGTTATACCCTGGAACTTTTAAACAGTGACTGCAGATGTGCATTTCTGTCACTGCTAATTCTTGCATAGTTAAAATTTTAAAATTGGATCAAGTGGGTCCAGTATTAGAAAGCATGAAAAAGGAACAATTAGGAGAACATGTCTGACAGCTGTGGCCTGTTAATAAAAGGTCTTTAGACAAATATACAAAGCCCCATCTCTCTAGCATCTGAGTAACTCCAAATCAACATGGGGCTTAACAAAAAAGGCAGCTTTGGGGATAAGCAAATGGCCGTAGCCAACTGCAAACACTGTCGCAAGAAGTCGTCAGGCTGAGAGCTGACCTCCCTACACTGGGATTTGGTAGTGTTCCAGGAAAGCAGTGGACAGTCGGAATGGCTGGAGAAACTCGACATTCAACAATCCCAAAGTGGGTGGGAAATTCAACAGGATGGAGAAGAAACAGCAAACAAAAAGAAAAGGAGAGTGTGTGGCAAGGGAGAAGGACCACAGTCCACAAAAGCAGCAGGTTCCAACCGTGAGGGGACACCCTGGAAGGGTCAGAAGCACTGACCACGGCAGCCAGCTGGAGGCAATTGCATTCAGAGAGAAAGGACAAGAGCCAGGCACTTTAACCCAAAAAATTGGCCTTAGGTCACACAGATGGAGGCCCCAGCACAAAAGAACATAGTCTTGAAAGAATCAATGT